AAAAAAATTGGTAACTTGTGTATAATATTATGTTGCACTTGATTTTCCATGATGAATGATTTTAATCGTGACTCTTTTGTCTTTCCGAATCCAAACTTCTTTAAGTTAGGGCAGTGGTTCAAAATAAGATTCTCCAAGTATGGCCATTCAACAATGTCTCCTGAGGAAAAACTCCTTAGATTGGGCAAGTCTTCACAATACACTGTATTTGTTTCCGGAAATTCCATTCTTATTGTGGCATCTTTGACATTTTTAAGATCATGAAATCTTTCCTATGTAATCCAAGGTAATTCTTCATGATAAGCCAATCTTTCTTAAGGTTGTTAGCATGTAAACAAATAATAAGAATTAATTGGGGACGTAAAGTTTATACTGTCATGTAAATTTAATGTCGTCAACTTACAATATAATAAATTAAAAGAATACTAACACCGATGAAAAACATAAAAATTGGTGGGTCTTTCATTCTATATAATGACCCTCTTTCTTAAAGTTTGTGGTTTTCAATAAAATATATTCAATGAGAAATGATATTAAGAAAAGTATGTTAAAGGATGTATTGTTAACGCTGTTCAGAAACTTAATATTCTCAAATAATTAATCTATTATTTATATTTATTTTAAAATTATTAAATTAATACTAAAATAAAAATCTCTCTCTCTCTAAAACATACTTTGAATTTACGCTAGATTTAACAATCATTAAGTTGGTCACTATAATAAAATATTGTCATTTGATTTGTTTACTAAACATGTAAAGTAAAATATGTTGTATTGCAATAGTAGGAAAAAGAAAATGAGTAGTGATAGTATGAAGAAAAAGTCATAAATATTTGTCCCAAACGCCTAAGAGTCCTAGTGAGCATATCGAAAATCTCCCAGCTCCAAATTCTTCCGAGTGGTATAGGCATAGCCGCAAATATATATGAATATACTTTCTCCTTGGTATGTGCTTTTATGGAAGAAACTCCTATTTATGTGCTTTTATCAAAGCTCAACTCAACTGTTTTTATTAGAAGGAGTCAAAAAGAATACATATAGTGCATCTAATATTAATTCTATGTTTTAATACTTTATGTACATATGTTACAACTATTATATATTTAATTTAATATTTTTTTAATACTACTATCTAATATAATTTATATCTACATTGTTATAAAAATATAATTGATATCTACACACACATAAATATATATATATATATATATATATATGAACTTGTAACACCCCATTTTAAAAAAAAAATGCTATTATTATTATATGGTTTTTTGTCATAATTATTTTTATTGTTATAGACGAATATATTGATACACACGCGCGCGCGCACACACACACACACACATATATATATATATATATATATATATATATATATATGAACTTGTAACACCCCATTTTTCAAAAAAATGCTATTATTATTATACGATATTTGGTCATAATTATTTTTATTATTATAGACGAATATATTGTATATGTTTTAAATAATTATTTTTTATTTTGAATAATTATTTTGTACGTATTTAATAAGTATTTTTATTAATATTTTAAATTATTTTTTATATGTTTTAAGGGATAATTTAGGAGACAAGTGAGATACAACCTCCTATATTTTTACAATAAAATTAATATATTTTATTATAAAATCTAAAAGGTTGATTTATAGGATAATTTGATATTGAAATTATATTATTATATTCTGGGTTAGAAATATTTTATTATTATTATTAGGGAAAAAGTATTTTGTATCATATATCATTTATTTAATTAATTTATTTAATTATTTTAGGTACACAGAAGCGGGTCGGGAAGAGAAGCGGGTTGAGTTCAGTCGGCTTAGTGGATTATTCTAAGAAAAGGGGTTGGACAAAGTTAACCCTATCTGTGTCATTTTGTGTTTTGAAGGGTTATGAGAGATAGAAAGGAGAAACAAAGAGCTTTGAGGAGGAGGGTTTAGAAGTGTTCGAAAACAATTTCCAAATGGCATTAGAATATTTGGATTAACGCAATCAGGTATGGGGAAAATGGGATTTTTGTATGTGAAGTCACATGAGGGAATGGGTAAAAGGAAAGTTCCCTAGGATTTTGGTAATTTATATTTGTTTCTATTTGGATGCCTAATGATTCTGATAATTTCTTTGTGGACTTGTGAGTGTATTTTTTGATATTAGATATTAAAATAGATGTTATGAGAGAGAGATTGAGTTGTTTGCAATGTTCATGTGAGTTAGGGTTCAAGAGGGATTGAAGTTTTGTTAATTGGTATGTTGTTTTGTTAAATTGATGATTCAATCGAATTTTATATTTATTTATAAATATGGTTATTATATTTTTTGGTGAAATTGATAATCTAGATGATAATTGAATTCATTGGGATGTGCTCTTTAAGTTAGGATTCTTGTAGATTAATGAGTACCCTTAATTAAATAAATTAATGAGTAATTGAGAGATTTTATTTATGGATGTACCTTAATATTTTTGTATTATTTTTCTGTGTGATTAACCAAATCAATTTCCGTTTGTTAGGTTAGAAAGTAGGCACTTGGGGCTATAATTTAGATTCTAGCATCGTATAAAAATGTTAAGAATTGATTGATTTATGCAGTTATAAGTTCAATTTCCATTCGAGTTGGCGAAATATTAAGTTTTGTGTTGTCATCCATGCGAGGTGACCTTAACGGAATTTTTAGGCTTTGTGTTATTCATAAAAGTTGGAGCTTTGGTTGTTAGCTTTCTAATTACTTTGAAATCACTCAAAAAGTATGTGTATAACTCAAGTTATGGTCAAAATAGTCAGTAGAGATCAAGCTGTCAGGATTTACAATGCTTGACGCAGGTATTTTATTTTAGTTTGCATTTTTGACATTTTGGGACCCCCTTTTTGGCATGTTTGTGATACTTTATGATTTCTTAGTGATTCTTTATAATACTTATAATATGATTGAATGAGTTTGATGTGATATTGTGAAACATGGTATTATATTGATGGATTTTGATGATGGTTGTGAATTGTATGATATCCAATAATGACTATTGTATGAATAAATATAAATGATGTGTGGTAGATGGAATGTAAACTAGTTGTGAATTAAAAGATTTATGTGTATGAGGAGGTTGTGCAAGATATGTGTATGAACTATTATTTTATGTGAAAATGTTGGTTGTGTATGTGATGTGAAATTGAGTTGTGGACTGTGGTGTGATGTCTTGGCACAAATGTATGTGTTGCACGACATTGGGCATGTAATGCAACAACGGTTACATGAACATGACATAGTGCGGGATGTGTGGCAATTAGCATAGATTTATGCATGGCATGACACTGGGTGTGTGATGCGACAACGGTGGCGTGAGCATGACATGGTGCTAGTTGTGTGATATGGTAGATATGAATGATTTGTGTATCTGTGTGATTTGGGATGTGATGATAAAATATTGACTTAATATTGGTGGAATTTATGATTGGTTATTTTTAGGTGAGGAAGATCCAAACATGAGTGACATTCAAGATGTTAATAGTTGAGTCATGGGAGTGCTTTGATAATGTGACATCGGGGCAAGAGACTTTTAGATCATTAATTTTAATGTAATTGGAGTTTGTATTTATTTCTTTTGAAACAGTTTATGAACTTATCGATTTTCTAAACTTTGTTTTAATCTATTTGGATATTGGAAGTACATTTTTTTTTTGGATATGTGAACCACTTTACCCGATTTTGGTAATTCATTCTACTTATTATTTTATTATGTATGTTGGGGTAGAATGAGTGTCTCAAAACTATTTGATATTGTTGGATTTGTAGGTTTTGTTTTGATATACTCCTAAAATAGATCTATTATTTAAAAAATGTCATTTTTAAAACTAGTTGTTTCATAAATGATTTTAAAAGTCAAGACTTATAAAATCAGTTATCAAATAATCAATTTTAAAAATTTACTTTTAAAATTGATTATTTGATAATTGATTTTGAAAACCCTAAGCCTTAAACTTTTCCACTTTTAAAATCGATTGATGACCAATTTTAAAAGGCAAGACTTACCAAATTGGCTCTTTTAAAATCCTACAAAAAATTAATTTTACAAGTAAAAGATTATCAATTTTAAAAGTCTTTCTTCTCACTAGTGTTTGTATTTCCCCTCTTATTAGTCATAATTGTCTTATATGTCAATTTGACACAAAATTATCCCTATTTTTCATGTCTTCAAACCCAACAATCATCCTCACCCTCCTCACATTTCTCAACACCTATTCCAACTCTAACTAGGACTCCTTTGCCCATTCAAACAATGACCTCCTCTACTCCCAAGTATCCTCCCACCTCCCCTCAAACCACTTACATGCATCTCCCCCCTTCATCCCCTTATCTCAAGCTACATTAGATACTTTTTGAAAGCTATCTTTTAGAACTCCACCCTTCATCCATGGATCATGTTAAAACAAATTTTTATTACCCAAATCAACCCTCTTATACATCGACCTTGAAAATCACTTCTCTTAAAAATTTGAATTGTCTTTCATTGTATTGATATCGTTCCACCAATTTGAGCAACTCCTATTACTATTCACCCATCCTTTTGTTCCATTAGCATATTTTCCTCTAAGCACCCTATACCACAACTCTTTTCTCTCAATTTTCATCCTCCAATGCCATTTCCTAACAATGCCAAATTAAAAGCTTTAAGATTTATTATTCCCAAACCTTTTTCGTCATTCGCTATACACATGCACCTTTTCCCACGCCACCCAATGAACTTTATGTTTTTCTGCATTCCCACCCCACAAAAAAAAATTAAATAGGGATTCAAGTTTAGAAATAATATCTTTCGAAGCTTGGAAAAAAGAAAACAAGTAGATCAGAAGAGATGACAAGACTAATTTGATTAAAAACACCCTTCCACATGTTGAAATGTGTTTGCACGCCTTCCCAAAACATTAATCTATTTCCCACCAATTCCACTATTGATTTCCACTTCTTTCTTTCTTGGATTAGCCCCAATCGGTAACCCCAATTATTCGAAAGGTAGGAATCCAACCTTACAATTCAAAATAACCGTCGCATCCATTAACCATTCATTAACAACATTCACCCCTACCAATTGACTTTTATGATCGTTCACCTTTAAACCAAAAATAAATTATGTATGTATTTATACATATAAAAGCTTATTTTATCCTAAAAATATTTATGTATGTATGAATTACAATGTTTTTAAAGACAAGTATGAATTATAATTTTTTATACACAAAGTACGAATAATATTACATCTAAAAGGCTAATGCAATGTATATATTTATACTTGATTAATTTGACTTTGAAGCCTTTCCTCAGATCTCTTCTATTTAATATGTAATCTTCATATTCTTCCTTGTAATGTCATTCCTGATATTGAAAAAAATTAAAAGATAAACCAAATTTATCAAGTTAATAAACCAATAATTTAACTCATAATTTTACTTGCTGAACTGAATGCCACTAAAGACCCACTAGAAATTTTTTTTCTTTGATGTCAAGGGGTCTTCTTGAGTAGCAATACTCATCAAAATAAGATTTTAATGGTCACATCATGAGGAACATAAAATCATATTGGATCCTGAACCATTTTTATCAAAATTAATAGCTTTAAAACAAGGTTTGAAAAGACCTTGTAAAATAAAAAAGTACAAAATCCTAAAAAATTATTAGCATTTTTTTTTAATTTAACATATTTTAATATAATCAAAAGATAATTGTTGTCATCTAACAATTTAAATTAATAATATATCTTGTACAAGAGATATCTTTTAGGAAAAAAATGATATGTATCATGTATATAAAACAATTTGTAAAAGTAAAACTGTTATGTTACAAGTTTTTAATTTTTGGCATATAACATTAAAATTTACATACCTGGATTGTTGTGCATACACGATATGGTCTTGTTCAAATTTCCAACCCAAAGTTTCTTAGCAAATGTTATATACACTGATTTCAACAATGGTGTATTAAGATCATCTCTCAAAAATGTTTTCATACTTGGAATATTGTTAACCCTCACTGTTTGTAAGTTAGGCCAATTAGAACATCCTCCTTCCTGACAAAAGTTGACAAGCTTTGGAAGATCCTTGAGCACAAGACATTTCATTTTAGGGAAAATGGTAGCCACCATTTCACCTTTATCACTAGATATTACCTCTTCTACTTTCTCACAATTACACAATCTGAGTATTTTGAGTTTTTTAAGATTTTGGGCCTGAGAAAGTGAGAATAAGCTTTTGAGGCAATGGCAATGAATAATGAAAAGTGAAACCAAATTAAGGAAAAATGGAACTTGAGGTTCCTTGTTCCAGAAACATGTCAAATTACTTAGGTTACTCATTGCTAACACCCTTAGTTGAGGAAGCATTTCTTGGTTATCATGATTTGGTTTGTCACCTTCAAGGATAAATACCTCGGCCAATAATTCACATTTTTCCAAAGTCAATTTTTTTAGCTTGTTGAATCTTACTATCATGGCGGGGGAGAAGACACTCAATAACTTTTTGTTGTTTCTCAAAGTAAGATTTTCCAACTCACAAAATGATTCAGAAGGATAATTGTAGTGCCAAAGCTCCTCAACCGGTTGATTCATTACATAAAGTACCTTCAATTTGTCCAATGACAACTGCAAAGAACAAAAAATAATTTTCAATGATTTGGAACAAAGATGAATAAAAAAAAACTATGTATACATACACCCTCCCGATAATGAATATTATTTCTAAAATGTTAAAGTGAAGAAACTTACTGAATTTGGAAAGAAATAGTTTGAATTATCTAATTCTGGATGATCTTTCTCCTCGTTAGACTCTTCAACTAAAGTCTTTAGACTAGGACAATTTTCTATTTTCAGTTTTTCTAAGTTTGAAAATTTAGCTGCAATAGGAAAGGCAATGGAGAGATTTAATAGATTTACAAGGGAAACATCCTTCAATCGAGTAAAGGTGGTTTTACCTCTCTTTCCTTCTTCTTCTTGGATGATCATAATTTTATGCAAGGCTGTGCAATTGGTAATTTCCATATTTTTTAGCACTTGAGATATGGGCAACCATTCAAGAGACTCACAATTCTTCACTTGTAGGATTTTCAAGTTTTGATAGAACTTGACAATTTCTTTGTTGATGATTTGGGTTAAATTAGGTAGATCATTCAAGATCAATTCATCTAACTGTTGTAGGAGCTCAGTTGAATGAGATATTGTTCCATCAATGTTGAATAACATTTTCAATTCCATACAATCGCTCACAATGAGTTTCTTCAATTTTCTTAACTCTTGTAAAGTCTTAGATGACACAACAACAACCAACTTGTAACAACTACGTAATGTGAGTTCATTTAGCTCAAAGAAAGACTTCCCATCAGTAATTGTGGATGGTGCATTTGCGGTTGCAAACCCATTTGTGAATGATGTCAATTGAGGACATTTTTCTATTGTCAAGGTTTTTAGAATTGGAAATTCTACTCCATGAATGTAGAAACAATTCAGTCTTGAGAGAGACTTTAACTCTACCTTGGTTAGTGATGGGAACTTTGCTGCTGGTAACACTTTAAAATCAGAATAAACTAGATGTATTAACGACACACATGCCTCTAACTTTAATTCATTTAGTTGGTGGAGCTTCTCTGTTGCATAATAATAGAATATACGTATTAGAGAGGGGCAACTTTTGATGTGTATCAATTGGAGATTTTCAAGGCCAAAAATTCTTGTTGGATTCCAAGGCCATATTTCTATTAGCATATATATTTCTATTAATTTTAATTCCCTCATCTGTGTGAAATATATACCATGTCTGTCTTCATCAAGGATAAGATCATGACGATAGTAAAACAAATATGGTTCTATGTTGCATTGTTGAATGTTGATAACTTCAAGTTTATTTGACCTCTTCATCAAACTAACAAGAAAATCAACCAACATGTCATCGCAATTTTTTGCCTGGAATAGTAACAAGTTGGTGAAATGCGATGGTCGAAGATTATCTAATATCTTGCGTAATTCCTCATTGTCACCAATTTCATACTTAGTAATTGTTGATAATTCATCATCCTGTAAATTTTTCACTTGTTACCATTTTGCGCAACTGGAGTGGCAATTGTTCAAACAGAGTAAAAGACTCGTTAAATATATATCCAATACCTTGAAAGATGTAAGGTAATCTATTTTTTGTAATTAAGTTTCTCAAATTTTAAATTTAAATGCACATTTTTTTTATCGAAAATTCTTTATGTACATATTTGAAATTTATGTTTAATTTAAGATAAAAAATTCAAGTGTTAAATTTAGGAAAATTTGAAGAATTTCTTGAAAGTTGTAAAATAGGATTTAATTTGACAAATAAAAATTGATATTTTTCAATTTTGGTTGAAATTTAATGTTTTGGTTAACGAGTTTTGAACAAAGAAAGATTTAAAACAATTTAATAGTATTAAATTTTTATAACGTATTTAAGTAGGAATTGAGAATTTAAAGACTCATAATAGAACAATATTTATAAAAGAATCAAAAGTCACTCAATCTAAAAAGTAGATGGACTTAATTAATTAAAAAAGTTTAGATTTGAAAATCGTAGTTAATAACAATTAAAGAGGGCAAAAGCATAACCGTAAACAAGCTTAATGTTTTTAGTCTATTATGGCAAATAGTGTTTTGATAGAGAACTAACCCATGATTCAAAAAAATTGGTAACTTGTGTATCAATATTATGTTGCACTTCATTTTCCATGATGAATGATTTGAATCGTGACTCTTTAATCTTTCCGAATCCAAACTTCTTTAAGTTAGGGCAGTGGTTCAAAATAAGATTTTCCAAGTATGGCCATTCAACAATGTTTCCTGAGGAAAAACTCTTTAGATTGGGCAAGTCTTCACAATGCACTGTATTTGTTTCCGGAAATTCCATTCTTATTGTGGCATTTTTGACTTGTTCAAGATGATGGGATATTTTCTGTATAATCGAAGGCAATTCTTCATGATAAGCCAATTTTTCTTAAGGTTGTTAGGATGTAAACAAATAATACGAATTAATTGGGGACGTAATCTTTATACTGTCATATAAACTTAATGTTGTCAACTTACAATATAATAAATTAAAAGAATACTAACACCGATGAAAAATATAAAAATTGGTGGGTCTTTCATTCTATATAATAACCCTCTTTCCTAAGTTTTTGATTTTTAGTAAATTATATTCAATGAGAGATGGTATTAAGAAGAGTATGTTAGGGGTGTATTGTTAACACTGTTCATAAACTTAATATTCTCAAATAATTAATCTATTATTTATATTTTATTTTAAAATTATTAAATTAAAAATATTTACTAAAATAAAAATCTCTCTCTCTCTCAAACATACTCTGAATTTACGCTAGATTTAAGAATCATTAATTTGGTGACTATAATAAAACATTTTGATTTGATTTGTTTACTAAACACGTAAAGTAAAATATGTTGTATTGCAATAGTAGGAAAAAGAAAATGAGTAGTGATAGTATGAAGAAAAAGTCATAAATATTTGTCACCAATATGTCCTCCGCCTTGTCCCGGTGGAAGCCAATAGTCTTAGTGAGGAAAATTTGCCTCCTCCCTTTTCGCAAGTCATTATTAGTTATCCAGTCCAAAAGTATAGACATAGCTGCAAATATATATGAATGAATATAGTTTGTCCTTGGTATGTGCTTTTATGGAAGAAACTCCTCTTTATGTGCTTTTGTATATCAAAGCTCAACTCAACTGTTTTTATTACAAGGACTCAAAAACAATACATATAGTGCAAAAGCAAATTAGAGACAGAAAATGGTATGTTTAATTGAGTCTAAATAACTAACTATATATATGCTTTTATGATGTGTATGGATTTGTATAATTCAAAAAGAATACATATAGTGCAAAAGCAAATTAGAGACAGAAAATGGTATGTTTAATTGAGTCTAAATAACTAACTATATATATGCTTTTATGATTCAAAATGAAATGGATTATGGTAGTGTACCTGCACGCCGCTCCTTCTAATTGTCCCTTTGATAGTCTTCAGCTAAATTTACCTGCTTCAGACTCTCCAATAAATATAATTTCATATCCGTGAAGTCGAAATATTTATAACTTAGAATGAATGCTTCAATGTTTTATTCTGTCAATGCACATCAACTTTAAGTAATTCTTTTCTTTCATTCTACCAATTTCAAAAACTAATTCCTTACTTAAAACTAATGCCACGATCTAGAATAAGAATATCACAATTACTTTGTCACCACGAAATGCATGCTTTTATGAAAAATAATATAAACAGAACAACTTCTACAATACACTTTTTTCTCCAAAGCTTTTCTACATATAAATATTATTATATATAAAAACAAAAAGAATTAATTTCTTTAACAAGAAACAAATAAATTAATAAAATATATTAACGATACTTGATTTAAAATTCAAATAAAACTAAAAATAAAAAATAATATTTAATATTTTTCTAATGTCATTAATTACTAAGAATTGATACATTTATGTTTGATTAATTAGTAATCATGGATACTAATAATATTAACTTTAAAATTACAATATCTATATTATCAAATAAATATTATATAATCTATAATATATATATATATATATATATATGAGATTATAATAATTCTCATTTGTGATTTTTTCTTCATTCTATATTTTAATACTTTATATATTTACAACTATTATATGTTTAGTTTAATGATTTTTCTTAATACCGCTACCTAATAATCTATGATAATTTCAGTTTCTTCCGGTCCTCTCTATTTGCTCAAGCTCAATTATAATATATACGTTTAAATATGTTTTTAGTCCTTTAAATTTAAGGTAAATTTATTTTTTATCTTTTAAATTTAAAATTATTTTCCTAATCATGAAATTTTTAAAAAACTTGTTTTAATATCTAAGAGACCCAAGCAAGTAGCACAAGGATTTTAGGCCTCCAATTTTTTTTTAACATTAATATACTACTATAAAATTAAAAATACTTAATTTTAAAATTACACCTAAAATAATTTTTAATTAAAATTTTAAAATATTCTTACTGACTATGAAGTTTATATTGGTACTATAAATACTATTTAATGAATAATAATTTTGAAATTTCTCCTAATCAATAATAATATTTTTTTAAAAAAAGATATTAAATAGTTATTTTAATAGGTAAAGAAACCCTAAAACTCTCTAATTTCCTATCTCTTTCTATTATCCAGGTCTATCTCCTTCCTTTCTCTTTCTATGAGTCTCTTTGACCACTGCTTGACTTCTTTTACATTATTGCTTCAATTTGAGTTTTTGACATTTGTTTTGAGTGCCATTAACCTATTATCCAATTGCTGCACTATTATTGTGTATTTTTGTGCATGTCTCTATTTGGAAGGCTTAGAGAGAAAGAGAATTGGAGTTTGTGTTGGCTTTTGTTCCTTTTGGGTGCGTCACTACGTCAATATCAAGTAAAAACTAAAAATTAGAACTTGATGTACTGTTATTCACTCGATTTTTCTTTTGTAAATGCTTGTTATATGTTCCTTTATCAAATTATCATGTTGTCTTTTCTATTAAAAAACGGTTAATTTAAAAGTTTGAAACCTAACAAATTTTTTTTTATATATATAATTCTACCCTAATCCTCAATTGCGAGATTGATGAATTCATCTAAAATAATTTTATTTTTTATTTTATAGTTTAATTAATCTCAATAATTTTAATTTGCAGATTCAAGAAAGTGCATTAGAAATTTAAAATTTTTAAATTAAATTTAAGCGAACAAAAGGAGACTTGAGACATCAAGACAAATATACTATGATCAAGTTTGGTAGTTGACAATCAAGTTTTATTGTTTTAACTTAGTCTTATATTATATACTTATATTTAGTGTTATATATTATAATTTTTAATTTTATATAAAAATATACAAATATGTCAACTAGAAAATATGAATCAGGCCATTCAAAACTTAAAAAAAAAAAAAAAGAAGAAGAAGAAGAAGAGAAAAGTCAAGGCTTTAATTAATCACAAAAAGGAACTATGGATAAATTTATAAAAATAAGCAAGAAAAACGAATTAGAAAATACAAGTGGATGCTCTTTGAATGAACACGATAACAATATAGATATAGGTGAAAACAACAATAGAGAAGTAATTAATGAAGAGAGGATAATTCTGATTCTCAAACTCAAGATAATGAGGAGAGAATTACAAGATTAGATGATTCTAATCTTAGAAATATATATGATCCAAGTCAATGGGAGAATATTGATACAAAATTGAGAGACTTATTAGTAGAAAAAGGCTCTATTAAAGTAACTGATATAGATTTTCTAAAGGATAGTTATTCTAGGTACTTTTCTTCATCAAATTACACTAAAAAATTGCCTAATGGAGAGAAAAATGAAAGAAAATGACTAATTTATTTAAGAGATTTGGATAGAGTCTTTTTTTTTTGTTGCAAATTGCTTAATGTTGTTTCTTTTACAAGTAAACTAGCTAATGAAGGTAGTAGAGATTGGAGAAATCTTAGTGCTAAGTTGAAGAGCCATGAAATAACAGTTGAGTGTTAAAGAAAAAATAAATAGAGATAAAGAACATTGGAGAAAGGTGTTGTTAAGAATTATTGTTGTTATTAAAACCCTTAGTAAAAGTAACTTAGCCTTTTGTGGAAAAAATGAAAAGATTTATTAAGAAAGTAGTGAAAACTTTTTAAGTTTAACTGAAATGATTGTCGAATTTGATCCAATTATGAAAGAATATATTCTTTGAGTTAAAAATGATAAAAATCATAATCATTACCTCGGGCATAATATACAAAATGAGTTGATAAATTTGTTAGCAAGTAAAATCAAAACAAAAATTATGAAAAAAATTGTGGATGTGAAATATTATTCGATCATACTTGACTATACTCCAAATATAAGTCATCAAGAACAAATTAATTATGATAATTTAATAGATAATTTTGCATCACAAAAGGCTCGAAAAGGTCGATTTTATATTTGAGGTTCTAAAAATAAACTTACCTTAAATTTGAGGGACTAAAAATAAACTTAACTTAAATTTGAGAGACTAAAAACATATTTAAGTCATATATCTATTATGTTATTTAATACTATATATATATATATATAAAATCTCAATTATGTTTTCTAATATTATATGTATATTCTCATTTGCGGTCTTTTTGTGACACCCTCTACCCCAACATAATTACAATAGATATAGGCACCAGATGAGACTTAATCCTGATAAATGTGTGTTCGGCGTCTCGGGTGGCAAATTCTTGGGTTTCATGCTATCAAGCCGGGGCATCGAGGCTAACCCAGACAAGTGTCGAGCCATTATTGAC